TTGACACAGGTTCGCGTCCTTGACTTTTTTGATAGTTTAACATCTTATCGTTTCAAACGGGCAAATAAGGATAATAAACAATAAAAACATCGTAATTTATTTCTCGTATAAAATAACGAAAATTAGAGAAATCATATACAAAATTTGATATAAATAATGCTTGTAATCTTTTAATTATCTCACCTCCATCATAGATTGTAATTATGTTTGTATATTTCCATAATTTGAATGCAAAACCGTATTTGCATGGATGCAAAAAACATTAGAAGCAAGAATATTTATATAATATACATTTACTATATTATCTATTAGAGTCGTTGGTGCGTCTGTTCGTGATCATTTAACTTCTAACTTGACCGACAGAAGTCGTATTCACACCATATATTATTTTGTTTCTTTTTCGCGACGATAGCTATTATTTATTCTGTGACGATAGTAGTTCATAGCTACGCTTAGATCCGAAAAGTGGCACTTTACTTAAGTTACCTAAAAGGAATTCTATATTTAGAGACCAAAATCAACTCACATTCACAGTATTATGTTGGTTTACTGCACCCAATAGGTGGTAAATATCGTATTTACAATAAAAATGTTACGGAGATCGAGGGAATTAATAAAGAAGCAATTGCAGCGAATCTGACATTTTCATGTTTCAGTAATTCATGAATCATTTTATATGTATTTATACGTAAAGCCATGCTGCAGCTATATTAATAGTATAGTTGTAGCACGAATGGGTCGGCTAGACAGGGGAAGTACCACGCTCTCACAGAATACCAGCGTAAAATAGCAACTTAGAGCTGCTGTGTTTCATATGGCGAGTGTAGATAACCGCTGACCCTTTTTACTGGAAACGAGGCATTCCATCTTAGTCCTCACGGGTGACAACGCATCTGCATTTTGATTCGCAAACGTGGATAGATGTAGATGTCTATGGGCCACAGAAACCACTTACCATCAGGTGGACTGTGGACTGTGTGCTCGTTTGTCACCCTTATTCTATAAAAATAAACAGATTTATTTAATTATAGAAACAGCAAATAATACTACATAAAATAAAACTTATAAACAAATGAAATTAAAACATAAATACTTATAATTAACATAATAAATAAATTAAAGAAAAAAAGGTATATAATATACAAAATTATACAGTATGTAAAGCTTAACTTAAGTAAAAAATACTTGCTAAATCAGATTAATAACCAATTCACATTTTTTCGATTTCAACCAAGATGTTTTATGTTTCAAGATGCCGTTAACGAAATTCCTGTAATCAGGTTTTGTTGCCTCTGTAGGGATTGCTTTGTTTATACCTTAGGCCGCGTTCCGACGACACGCACCCGCTACGCGCACGCCACGCGCAATTTGTTGCATATAATTTGAGTCTTATGGCAAGTCAATAATTCTTCAAGAGAGCGTTGTCGCCTTTCTTGAAGAACAAGTCCACCACACTTCTGCTCCACGCCTCTGGAGTAGTCCCACCATGGAGGACGGAATTAAAGAGCTTCTGAAGTACTTCAAGTACTGGTTTTCCACCCGTTTTCAGAAGCTCGGCTATAATTCCATCCTCGCCTGGGGCCTTGCCGTTTTTAAGTTGCTGGACAGCCATTATAATCTCGCTCGGACTGACGTTCCGGATATCATCGAACAGTGTCGGATAAGACTCTCTCTTGGATCGTTACTCACACTTGCGTGTGGCTCTAACGATGACGTATATAGCTGTCTATATAACCACTCAATTTCACTCGAAATCTTAGGTGTCCCGGAAATGATGCCGCCACACTCGGTCTTAACCTTGCCAGTTGGCTCTTTCTGGTAGACAGATCTCTGGAAAAGACTTTGCAGCATTGGTTCCGCTCGATCGCTTCTTCAATACTAGCTGTATAGAAGTTGCGTAAGTCCCGCCGCATGCATTTGGAGATCTATCTGTTCAGTTGCCTGTATGCTGTCAAATCTGTTGAAGATTGCAGCTTCATTTCCCGTCTAACAGCCATAAGATTAAGAGTGTGATCGGAGAGTTTTTGTGTTCTTCTGCGGTGGGTCTTGCAGAACTTAGTTCCGACCGCATGGACAGTTTCCACGAGCTTATCATTTATATCGTCCACTTCATTGCAGTCTTCCAGGCACTGAAAACGGTTTTATAACTCGAGCTGAAAGGTTTCGGGATTTTGGACTAGAGCACGAGGGGGACGAAGCGTTGACTTCATTAGACGAGACCTCTCCAACTTAACGTTTAAGTTCAGTGTGCCTCTAACCCTTCGGTGATCGCTACCAGTTTTCACCCTCGCGATCACTGAGACATCACAGAACAGTTGTCGTCTGGTCGTCATAATGAAGTCAATCTCATTTTTGTCGAACCGTCGGGGTTTTTCCAGGTCCACTTCTGCTTCTGGAAGAAAGAGTTCATCATAAAGTTCTTACTCCATGAAGCCGGTCAACTGCTGGCCCCTTGGGTTCCGCTGTCCTATTTCGAATTTCCTTACCTTCAGTTCATCGTTCTCTCTTGTGCCGGATTCGTGGATTACCGTGTCCTCTCCCTCTCTTCGGACCTCAGATAAGCCTATAATATGCCAGTGTAACTTGTCTATCTCTTCTTCCAGCTTCAGGATTTTCTTGTCTGTCCTCGGGGTGCGTAAGTTATATGTTGCCAAGTCACGTCGTCATAAGTGGCAACCGAACCTCTGCCAGAGATTCTTAGCCCCTGCCCCTCCGTTACCATGGTCGCCACCGTAGCCAGGAATAGCGGGGCCGCCTGGTGGCTGTCTCTTCGTAACTTTCATCGGGGGGATATTTGCCATAGTTGGCACGATTGGCCAGCGGGTTGGCTGCCTTTCTACCATCCCTACCTGTTTCCCACTGCCGCCTCTTAGGACACCCACGGGAAGATATGGGGTAGTGGATATTCTTAGCCTAAGCGGCAAATTTTTTATGGTTTATTTTTATATTAGTATTGATTTCCATTAAAATAATTTATATTAATTATTTGTCTCTAAAATCATATATAAGTAGACTAGGTAGAAATAAAGTGTTATATACAAAATAGTGTGTGTACCCAGTACAAGCACGACATTGTTTGATGGTGCAATATTTAGTGAATAGGTGCCTAAATGTGTTGCGATGAGGTCATTACCACATAGTAATAATTAAACGACATCAGCTACAGGGCCAAAGATAAGGCATTATTTAAGTACACATTGCTCAAGACACGTTTTGGTGACTACATAGGTATGAGTATTTGTTAGATGACCGGGGAATTTTGATTACGGGGAATTGTAAAATAACAAATACTTGTATATAATTATTATTTTCAATGCAAGTTTTTTTTAATAATCTAATAATATACAAATATCCACTTTTTACCAGAAAATGAGTTAATCTGTAACTAGATTGTGTACTAATAAATACTAATAAATCTAAATTCTTTATTTTTCAAGAGCGTTTCTAAATTCTTGTGCTTTTAGAGTTTCTTGCAAATTATTGCCAACCGTCTTGCACTACGATTGCCTATACGCGTGCCTATCGTAGTGATTGTGGAAAATGCTTCCTATCATAACCGATTGCCGAAAGAACCCGCGTTTTCTTATAAACAGCAACATTTTGTTTACAATATATCATTTTGATTTTATCAAAATTTCTTATTGATATATAATTTAACGCAAAACGTTATTTGCATAGATGTAAAAAGCATTAGAAGGAAGAATAGTTATATCATACTAGCTGGTGGCCGGCGCATTGCTGCCTCGAAGTAATAATTCTGGAAATATCGTTTTAAATTTGAAAGAGTTAGGTACATTGTTTAATTAGGAAAGATAATACATTCCTTGAAATTGAATGATACATTATAAATTTCAGTAAATTTCGGTGCGATACGCCCGCCATAACCTTCCCACAAGTTATTGTACTATTTATTCTGTGGCACAAGTGCAAGCAATAAATTTACAAAGTTTTACCGCAATCTGATGAACGGTATGGTTGCGCACAAAATACGAACAAAGGAACATTATTTTTTTATATATTAGAGAAGAGGATATATTAGAGTCGTTCGTGCTCATTTAACTTCTGAACAACTTTTAATTGCTGAATCCATGGGATAGCATCGTTTTCGAGAGAGAACAGGTCTGTTGGGCAGCCGTGGTACCTTGTGAGTGGGCAGTTTCTCGCTATATGCTCAACATCCTGGACAGCAGCTCCACACTCACACCCCGGTGATTCCCTCCACCCGCACATGGACATGAAGGCATTGCTTCGCCCGCATCCGGTTCGTACCCTATTCAGTTGGCACCATTCCCTTCTTGGGAACGCAAAACCAGCAGGTTTAAGTGTAGGGTTGATGGTAACTCCCATGCTATCTGGGGGTTTTGCGTTCCATTCCTGCAACCACTCAGCAGATGTGTTAAATCTGCCGGACACGAGTTCACATGCGGTCTGGTGGGTGACGTGACGGATCAGTAAACTCCGCGTGAACGGGCAGGTTGGGATTTCCATAGATCTTCTGGGCCTTTCGTAGTAGTATTTGTTGTCTTCTCAAATGGGGTGGGCTCATATGACTTAGCACGGGAAGCCACTGGAGGGGGTACATTTTAAGGTTCCAGATATACATCTCATGGTCTGGTTCAGCTGGGTGTCCACATGCAGCACATGTGCACTATTTGACCATACTGGTGTACAGTACTCTATTGTTGAGTACACCAAACTGAGACCGGTTGTACGCAGCATATCGGCGCTGGCCCCCCAAGTGGTGTCCGCCAGCCTGTGCAAGATGTTGTTTCTGGTTTGGAGCTTTTTGGATAATTTGTCCATGTGCGGAGCGTACGTGAGACTCCGATCGAGAGTCACACCCAGGTATTTCGGAGTGGGGTTGTAGTGCAACATGGCTCCAGCAAACTCAACAGTGGGCTCGTATTTTGCCATTTGGTTAGTCAAGTGAAACGCAGTTACTTCGGTTTTGGCAGTGTTTGGTACTAGTCTCCATTTCCTAAAGTATTTGTATAGTATGCTTAAGTCTTCGTTAAGGATACCTTCGGATGGTTTGAAGGTTTCGTGTCAGGAAGTGCTATGTCATCAGCATACATAAATTTACGACTCTGCGTTTCAGGTATGTCATGTAAGTAAAGATTGAAGAGCAGCGGAGCCAAAACTGAACCCTGCGGTAATCCATTGTTCAGCTTTTTGGTACGACTTTCATTGTCGCCAAGGAAAACCATGAACTCACGGTTGCTAAGCATGCTATTTAACAGCCCCACCATTTTTCTGCATGATACCGCTTTCATGAGCTTGTAGACCAATCCTTGCCGCCAAACTGTATCGTATGCCGCTGACAGGTCTATTAAAACAGCAACCGTCTTCAGTTTCTTTTGAAACCCTGCTTCAATGTAGGTTGTGAGGGACAACACCTGGTCGGTACAGTTGCGGCCACAATGGAAGCCAGCTTGTTCCACTGGGATCACCTTATCAATGAGAGGCATAATGTGGTTGTAGATTAGTCACTCCAGAAGTTTGTAGACACAGCTCAGAAGGGCGATAGGACGGTAGCTCTTAGGATCGTCTGCAGATTTTTGGGGTTTCAATATAGCGATAATATTCGATCTATTGAAGTCGCAAGGCAATTTGTTACGTAACAGGATATCTGAGAAGAAGTCTTTCAGCCATTTTTTTATAGGATAAGGGTGACAAACGACCACATAGTCCACCTGATGGTAAGTGGTTGCTGCGGCCCATAGACATCCACATCTATCCTCTTTGCGAATCAAAATGCAGATGCGCTGCCACCCATGAAGACTAAGATGGAATGCCTCATTTCCAGTAAAAAGGGCTTCCGGCCACCTGCACTCACCAAGCGAAATGCAGAGGTAAACCTCTACTTCACGCTGGTATTATGTGAGGTCGTGGTACCACCCCGGTTCGAGCCGGCCCATCCGTGCGACAGCTAAAGCTGCCGCGTGGCTCTACCACTGTTAAATTTCCTGCATTTCGGGCCCAGGCTCTAGAATTTCATTGTTGACTCCTTCGAAACCAGCAGCTTTATTAGGGGGCAATAGCTTCAAAGCGCGATCGGTTTCATCTTGGGAGAATTCTCGTGACAGCTGGTAGTCAATTGGTAGCGACGCCTTGAGCTGTTTAGCGCACTGTCGTGTCGCCCGGGTATCATATTTCCTGCCTTTAACTCGGGACACCTCCACTATTCTGTTTGCAATCGCGTTGGCTAGTGGAGCAGATCCGCCACGGGAGATTGTTCCAGTCTTGCCTGACAACCCATTGAGCACCCTCCAAGCTTTCCTGCTGGAATTCTTAAAATCCATTGACTCCACGGTATCGAGCCACCTATTTCGAAGCCCTTCGTCGAGAGATTTCACAAGGTCATCACCTATTTCATGGTTACCCGTGCGCGTGTACTCATCAAACAGTTTTTCGCTTTCTTTCGATCAGCAAGGGATGTACGCCTTGCGGTAGCCTCGGGGAATGCTCTTTTTTGCTGTTTTGCTATGATAAGTTTAGTGAATCTCTTGTAGTATTCAGCACAGAGCGGTATCCATCTGATAGCAGCATCCATGTCAGCGCTGAATTTGGCCCAGTCTACTTTGTGGAAGTTCCATCGAGGCAAAGGCATGGAGTTTGTTGTGGGGATCTTAATACCAACTTCCACAAGCACAGGTCAGTGCTGGCTGTTCGGGAAGTCTGAGAGAAATTCTTCGTGTGGTTTGTTATGGGGTTCGATTGATGTCACAGGTAGTAAACCTTAGGTCTGGATTATAATCCCGTTTCCATCTTGCTGACCTGAACGATCCTCTATCCTTCGCGTTAAAAACCACGTGAACAATTATGTATAATACTTCTGCACGACTTGACCTATAGAGGTCATATTCAAACCATATGATATTGTGTTTTCGAGACGATAGTTCATAGCTATGCTAAGTAAGATCCCAAAAGTGGCGATTTATTTAAGTTATCTATGATAAATTCTATATTTTTGTACCAAAATGACTTACATTCATAATACGTTGGTGTATTGCACCCAAAAGTGGTGCTACGGTCAAGTTATTAATAAATTTCATATTTACACTGAAAAATTACGGAGGTAACGCAGATCCACACTGAAGCAAATGCAGTAGCAAATCCGACATTTTCATGTTTTAAACATTTTTTAGATCTCAACCAAGACATCATATAGAGGATTCGTGTTTCAAGGTATCGTCAATGAAACTCCCGTAAGTAGGTCTTGTTGCCTCTGTATAGACTGCTTCGTATATTTATATTATTTTATTTTAATCTAGATTTCTTATTCCATAAACGTTTGTAATGCATATAAAGAATAACTAAAATTCTAAAACCATCTGAGTATAATGGCTTCAATATACGCGTGTATGAGGGAAGCGCTCAAGTACGTCACAAATATAATTATAATAATGATATTATGATACCAATTTGTTCCTACATAAAATTTAAAAAATCCTCCAAGACCAAGTCGTAATGTGTCCTATGATCCCATCATTTTGTTACAAGACGTTTAACTACATAGTTCAAAATGAAACAATCTAAGATCGTAAACGTACGAACATCATGCATCTTTCATCTTATCTGCATAATAAGCCGTTAAACGGTTAAACTATTTTCCTCTGAATATTTAGAGGGTCCTAAAGAATTGCAACACAGAACAAGATGGCGGGACCTATTTGTGTATAACGAAACGTTTAATATTTGCAGCCATTCAGTCCCAACTAATCTTTATTCATTTAGTGTTGAAATGAATAGAAAGAATTTGAATATTCACTCATTAATGTTCTATTAGTGTTATTCGTAATATGTACAATGCACATGCATTTCAGGTAATATAAGTTCAGTTTATAGATATTTCATTATGCAACTTATGTAGTTACCTATACAAAAATAATTTCTTCGATTTTGTTCGATTTTGTTTGTTCGACGTGTCGTGTCATATGACGTTTATATAGGTAGCTTTATAAACGTTGTATACAAATCATTCAAGTTTTTTCTTTATATTTTTAAAGCGTTTTTCATTATATTCATATTTGGCAGTTTTGGAAAATCCATTTAATATTTTACATTCATGCTAATTTTTATTACACGATACCGCGGGGAGTAGGACTATATGATAATTAAGATAGTTTTAATTTTTTTTTATTATTATTATAGTTTTTAATATTGTATATAATTAAATTTTATTTTCTTAATTATATATTATATTTGAGTATTTTTATTATCTTCACAAGTTTCCAAAATACACAAACAATTATTATGAATATAGGTCTCACCCAGGTATAGACACATTGTACGGTCCTGAGCCACCTGCATTCTTTGACTTCATGCACCTCTTATGGTCCCCACTCACGGTCAGTTAAACTGACATCAGTTCAACTGATGACTTCAAACGGATTTAATCCAAAAAAAACTTCGACACACACGGTCAGTTCAACTGATCATTCCAACTGATCAGTTCAAACTAGGGCTGTTAATATTTTTAAAATATCGGATTTTCAATATATCGAAAAAAAAATCGACATATCAACTTTGTTAAAAAAAAACAATCGTAAGTCATTTACTTTAGTTCGTTTATTATATTTATTAAGCAAATTAAATTATAACTGTATTAAAATGTTAGATTATAGTTCTTAGGTAAAGTTACAGCCTACATAAGACCCATTGCAGGGCACAGGCCTTCCCTCATTTCTAAGAGGGTTTTAGGGCAAGGAAGTGTCCACCGCGCTGTACCCAATACGTGTTGGCGACCTTCACATGTCTTCGAAATATTTTTTTCTTATTTCTCAGCTATTTATAGCAGCAGGTTTCCTCACGATGTTTTTCTTCACTCCTGAGTACGCGGTAAATCAGCACTTAAAATTGCAATTCATTGGTTCTGGCGAGGATCGAACTCGGGTTGCTCACGTACTGTCAAATTTACAGCGGGCGCTAACCGTCCGAGTTACACGGCTCAAAGTTCTTAGTAACTAGTTCTTAGTAATTATTGTTTAATTTAAATAAGACAATTATGTGTACCAATATTTTTCAGTAAGAGTTTTCAAAAATACTCATAGTTTTATATATTCAACTGTTTGATGACTACGATCATTGGGCACTAAAAGTTTGATTATAGAAGCACAAGTGCTACAGATGTAGCTGAAGAAATCAAATATTCAACAGCTATTTCTGATAGTACGGGAGTAAACTGTCTATCCAGTGGTACGTAATACTATTATTTATTCTGCGCCAGCGGACAGCCGATGACGACAGTCACTCAAGTTCATAAGACGCCTAAGCGATCAAAATAACTTGAGGTTTATATCAACATCGAAGCACTTTTTTCTTCGTTTTCTCTAATAGTTCACATGCGCAGACATGATAAAACAGGAGCAACAATCCGTTGACGGTCAAATTCCCGCCAAAGCTCACAGTAAGTAAAGTAGTACTAAGTTTAATAGATTATAGTGATTTTAATATCACAGAGATATACTATACAAGATTACGTTTCTTTTTAAGATAATAAGCAAATAAATAAACTGGGGAAAAATGAAAAACATAATATAGTGTAAATAAAGTATAGTAGATTGGGTCCATCAAGGATTAGGATTTAAGTTTACGATGGTGTTGTAGATTAAATTATTTACGTGAAAAAATAAAACATTAAATTATTTTAAAAAATATATCGACTGTCTTATATGTATATTTCAATATCAAACTTATATTACAATGTATGTCGTCCAAAAATATTAGAAATAAATATCGATTTTTCTAAATAATAAAATAGATTTTTCTATATATCGATATTTTGTCAACAGCCCTAGTTCAAACGTTGGGCGTGGCCGTGGGCGTTTGGTTTGCGTGACTCCTATAAAATATCATATATATAGATAAATTAAATGATATTAAATAATATCTAAATCTTATTTTATATCATTTCCTGTATATTAATATATATCTACACAAATAAACAAAATTGAAGTGTCTGTTTGTATTGTCAAAATAACAGTTTTTACTATATACATATGAAAGTACATACGGTACTTATAACAAAAACACAATTTTAAAAATTTTTGTCTGTCTTTCTGTCTGTCTGTCTGTATGTCCCGGCTAATCTCCGAATCGGCTGAACCAATTTCGACGAGACGTTCAGTGTCAGATAGCTGATATTATAAGGAGGAACTTAGGCGACTTTTAATTTAGAAAAAGAATTAGGGTTCCGTGCAAAAACATTAAAACCCATAAATCCAATCGTAATAAATTACACGCGGGCGAAGTTGCGGGGAACAGCTAGAACGCGCACGGCAGCGGCCCCGTCGATCGAGAAATGAAATCCGTTCCGTATATATATATATATATATATATATATATATATATATAGTTTCCTATATATTAAGACACTTTTAAGAAATGGGTCAGATATTATGATAATTTTATTCATTATGGTAAATTTAAATTTTATTTAAATTTTTTTTTAATTTTATTATATATTAATAAATAATAAATGTATTATTTATTTTTATCTTTTGCCCCACCTTCTTAGTTCACCATGAAGGTATTATAATCACATTGAACTAGGTCTTTATAAACCCTTTTCAAATGAGTTCAAACACGATCATTCTACTTAGTGCCGTCCACCTTCGGATTGCACCATCAGAGAGGTGAAGTTATAAAAGTCACTTAGGTCTTTATAAGCCCTTTCAAATGAGTTCAAACACGATCGTTCTATCTAGTGCCGTCACTGAGATCCTATACCCACCTTCGGATTGCACCATCAGAGAGGTGAGGTTATAAAAGTCACTTAGGTCTTTATGAGCCCATTCAAATGAGTTCAAACGCGGTCATTCTATCTAGTGTCGTCACTGAGATCCTATACCACCTTCGGATTGCACCAACATAAAGGTGATATCATCACAATCATCTAGGTCTCCATTTACCTATTTGAAAATGAGTCCAAACAAGATAGTTCTACGTAGTAGCATCACTGAGATCCTTTACCCACCTTCTGAGTCCACCATAAGGAAGGTGACATCATTACAATCACCTTGGTCTCCATTCTCCGTCAAAACAACTTCTCTAAATATGTAAAATAATATAAAATCTAAACAGCATACAAATAATGTAAGTAGCTACTAAGAAAGTATGTACTTATCAATAATGGAAACGAGCTGAAGCCAGCGGATTACGGTGCGCCCGGAAAAATACGTGGGTTGCCGTCAGTTAAAAATTTGTACTTAAGATTTCTCATTCACGATCAGTTTTTGGATGTACGTCAGTTCGACTGAGCAGTTTAACTGACATCACGCCCGAAAAAATCCGTGTGTTGCCTTCAGTTAAAAATTTCAACTTAAGATTTCGCATTCAGGTCAGTTTTTGGATGTACATCAGTTAAACTGTTCAGTTTAACTGACCGTGAATGGCCACCATTATGGGGTGCCGGCCTGTACTTCGCTTTCCTGTACATTTTTATATCTTCAAATATTATATATTTGGATTGTTTTGATTACTACATAAATTGGAATTTAATATCGTAGACCGTTCTTAACATACTTTTCAATTTAATTATTCAATATTACCTGGAAAATCACTGAATTTCTTCGCAGCTACAACTATACCGAAAAAAGACTCCAGTAGAATCAGAATCAGTCCCCAATGTGTCATATATAACAGGAACTTGTCAGTGGTGCCCCAAAACGTTACCGCTGACCAGGATATTACGGTGAAGGCCCATAAAAATATCGGCACTCGCCAGTACAGCGCTGACAGTCTTCCTTGCCAAGACCTTGCAAATAGCTCCGGTCGTTCATTTCCTTCCCTAAGCGCTCCGATACAGCAAGACGCGTTCTGTTTCCACGACCACTGCATAATCATTTTGTAAATATGTTTTTAAATGTATATATGCTTAAAGTTTCAATGCGTCTTTAGTATGTGACGGCTGTTTCTTTGACCTTCGTTGTGCTGCGGCTGTGAACAAACGAATACTTAAATCGTCTTTTGATCTAAATGAACATTTACTTTGTGTTTTAGTATTGGGTACCTATTTCAACGTGGTAGAGCTATGCTGCAGCTATATTAATTGTATAGGTGTAGCATGAATGGGTCAGCTCGACCGGGGAAGGACCACGCTCTCACAGAATACCAGCGTAAAATAATAGCTTGATGCTGCTGTTTCGTATAGTGAGTGTAGAGAACCGGAGACCCTTTTTACTGAAAAAAGGCATTCTATCTTAGTCCTCACGGCTGACAACGCATCTGCATTTTGATTCGCAAATTAGGACAGACGTAGATGTCTATGGGCCACAGTATCCACTTACCATCGGGTGGACTGTGTGCTCGCTTATCACCCTTATCATATTAAAAAAACATAAAATGTAAAATTTTATTTAGTACAAAATGAGTACCAAAAAAGTTAATGATCCTTCAGCATCAGTTCATTCTTTTAATTAACTAGCTAACAAAACAATTTGTAGCTAAAATCACAACCGTTTCTTTTTCTGTTATTTTTGTGATTTGATTAAACACTTGTATTTGTTGCATAATAATATTTTAAATTATTAATTTATTGATTATAAAAACCGACCGTTTTAGCCTCACGGCATCATCCGGGTATTTATGAGCAACGAACATATACATATATACCTGCAATAAAAATTAATTTAAAAATAATATTGTTAAACAAGTACAAATGCTTAACCAAATCATAAAAATGAAGATATAATTTCACCAAGTAACAACAATCGCAAGCATATTTATTTGTGGTCAGATAAGATAGTTTAAAATTAAAAATTTTGTACTGCCGATTTCAATATAAATTATTAAGAATAACTCAAAAACTGGTCTGACCTTGATCAAATTCATATGGGACCACACGAGAAGTACAAGCTTTCAAATAAAAAAAAGAATCGGTTCACCCACTAAAAAGTTATGAGGTGACACACATAAAAAAAACATATCTACAGTCGAATTGAGTATCGTCTTCTTTTTGGAAGTCGGCAGAAAATAACAATTGCCATGGTATTATTGATGTACCAGACTTAAGACAATTGTGTGAATTATATAGGACCAGTAAGTACCTTGTACTATTATTTATTCTGTGTAAGTACTAACGTTCAGCCCCGGCTTCGCTCGGGAAGCGCTAATAATCTGACCGCATGACCTGTGATATGGGGGGGGGGGGGGACATAGTGGTAAGTTTATTTACCAGTGTGCATTCAAATATTTGTGAAACATATTTCTACCCCTTGGAGTGCGTTCGACGTTCAAAAGTGAATCTAACGTGAACCTTACGTCTCAGTATCAGTGGTATCATTTTTATTAAAAACACTTGTAGAAATCAAACTACTGACCAAAAGGGTTTGGTATAAAGAGATTTATTTTGATAAAATTCTTAAAACTATGATTGTAAGATTGTTTAGTTGTTTAGTTTGTTGTTTAGTTTTACAAAAATAAGTGATATTCATTCTGTAAATACTAGGAACAGACACAAGCTAGTAGTACCAGTTACTCGACTCCATCGAGTAAGTAATTCATTCTTGGGGCGATGTATACGCTTTTACAACAAAATTCCAGAAAATATACAAAATTTGACCTGCTCAAAGTTCAAAAACTTTATTAAACTAAGTTTGTATAAAAAGGGTTATTATAATATTAATGAATTTATAGATGATAATAACCCCTGGAAATGAGGTGATCGCTACCAAGCTATTTCTAATTTATTGTGTTGTTAATTTGTGTAACATACATGATTGTAAGCTTTTATTTAAAAAAAAGTCCCGCTGGGTTTCTTGCTGGTTCTTCCCAGGACAGAGGTTTTTTTTTTCGAACCAGTGGTAATCATACAAAAGAGTGACTTCCAATAAGTATTATTTATAATCTATATTGAATAAAAAAGTTTCTGTTTCTGTTTCTGTTTAAGTAATTTGATATGTTGTATTTGTTCTTTGTTACACAAACGACTTACATACATTTTCTTAGTCTTTTTGCTGCACTGCCTCCCATATTTTTATCTCTGCTTAGCCTACTAATAGTTGACTGGGAGAAAATGCCTTGAGGAATTAATTCCACCATATGTGTATACTATTTTTGTGCATAAAAATTTAAATAAATAAACTTAAGTATTAAACGTATATTTCCAAAGCATTATTTTTGGTAATGCGGGATAATCTTAACAAATAGAGAATATTATCGCGGACTTTTCTTTAGAACTCTTTTAAAGGAATAATTCCATGTTAAATTATTTTTTATTTTTTGTAAATCGATAAAGATATTATCGATTTACACACAGTACACGCAATGGAAGCTCTCAGGAGACACGATTTTTTTCTCACTTAATCGACAAATGTCATCATAAAATTAGCTGATTTGCATAAACGATTCTTAAGTGTGTAACGTAAGAATCTTAACCTTCCTTTTATATCAGACTGTCTGCTGGTTATTGTTGAAAACCAATTGAAAGTCCCTAATCAAATTATATTTTTTGGTATATTACTGTCTAAGCTTGCCAGCGCTATCAGTGCTCGGCGGAGTTCAGAAGAGTACAGCGTATTTTTTACACCGATTACTTATTATACGCAGTGAGCGATAAGTTCTTTACTTAATATTAAATTTAATAATTAATTTATTGTAAAGACATATTATATAAGAATTATGTATCACAGAATGAAGGCTGTTGTTATCCCTAATAATATAAAATAAAATAAAATAAAATATGATAATTTTTTACACCGATTACTTATTATACGCAGTGAGCGATAAGTTCTTTACTTAATATTAAATTTAATAATTAATTTATTGTAAAGACATATTATATAAGAATTATGTATCACAGAATGAAGGCTGTTGTTATCCCTAATAATATAAAATAAAATAAAATAAAATATGATAATTTTTTACACCGATTACTTATTATACGCAGTGAGCGATAAGTTCTTTACTTAATATTAAATTTAATAATTAATTTATTGTAAAGACATATTATATAAGAATTATGTATCACAGAATGAAGGCTGTTGTTATCCCTAATAATATAAAATAAAATAAAATAAAATATGATAATTTTTTACACCGATTACTTATTATACGCAGTGAGCGATAAGTTCTTTACTTAATATTAAATTTAATAATTAATTTATTGTAAAGACATATTATATAAGAATTATGTATCACAGAATGAAGGCTGTTGTTATCCCTAATAATATAAAATAAAATAAAATAAAATATGATAATTTTTTACACCGATTACTTATTATACGCAGTGAGCGATAAGTTCTTTACTTAATATTAAATTTAATAATTAATTTATTGTAAAGACATATTATATAAGAATTATGTATCACAGAATGAAGGCTGTTGTTATCCCTAATAATATAAAATAAAATAAAATAAAATATGATAATTTTTTACACCGATTACTTATTATACGCAGTGAGCGATAAGTTCTTTACTTAATATTAAATTTAATAATTAATTTATTGTAAAGACATATTATATAAGAATTATGTATCACAGAATGAAGGCTGTTGTTATCCCTAATAATATAAAATAAAATAAAATAAAATATGATAATTTTTTACACCGATTACTTATTATACGCAGTGAGCGATAAGTTCTTTACTTAATATTAAATTTAATAATTAATTTATTGTAAAGACATATTATATAAGAATTATGTATCACAGAATGAAGGCTGTTGTTATCCCTAATAATATAAAATAAAATAAAATAAAATATGATAATTTTTTACACCGATTACTTATTATACGCAGTGAGCGATAAGTTCTTTACTTAATATTAAATTTAATAATTAATTTATTGTAAAGACATATTATATAAGAATTATGTATCACAGAATGAAGGCTGTTGTTATCCCTAATAATATAAAATAAAATAAAATAAAATATGATAATTTTTTACACCGATTACTTATTATACGCAGTGAGCGATAAGTTCTTTACTTAATATTAAATTTAATAATTAATTTATTGTAAAGACATATTATATAAGAATTATGTATCACAGAATGAAGGCTGTTGTTATCCCTAATAATATAAAATAAAATAAAATAAAATATGATAATTTTTTACACCGATTACTTATTATACGCAGTGAGCGATAAGTTCTTTACTTAATATTAAATTTAATAATTAATTTATTGTAAAGACATATTATATAAGAATTATGTATCACAGAATGAAGGCTGTTGTTATCCCTAATAATATAAAATAAAATAAAATAAAATATGATAATTTTTTACACCGATTACTTATTATACGCAGTGAGCGATAAGTTCTTTACTTAATATTAAATTTAATAATTAATTTATTGTAAAGACATATTATATAAGAATTATGTATCACAGAATGAAGGCTGTTGTTATCCCTAATAATATAAAATAAAATAAAATAAAATATGATAATTTTTTACACCGATTACTTATTATACGCAGTGAGCGATAAGTTCTTTACTTAATATTAAATTTAATAATTAATTTATTGTAAAGACATATTATATAAGAATTATGTATCACAGAATGAAGGCTGTTGTTATCCCTAATAATATAAAATAAAATAAAATAAAATATGATAATTTTTTACACCGATTACTTATTATACGCAGTGAGCGATAAGTTCTTTACTTAATATTAAATTTAATAATTAATTTATTGTAAAGACATATTATATAAGAATTATGTATCACAGAATGAAGGCTGTTGTTATCCCTAATAATATAAAATAAAATAAAATAAAATATGATAATTTTTTACACCGATTACTTATTATACGCAGTGAGCGATAAGTTCTTTACTTAATATTAAATTTAATAATTAATTTATTGTAAAGACATATTATATAAGAATTATGTATCACAGAATGAAGGCTGTTGTTATCCCTAATAATATAAAATAAAATAAAATAAAATATGATAATTTTTTACACCGATTACTTATTATACGCAGTGAGCGATAA